TTAAAAGAATAAAAAAAAAAATTGATTTTTATCATTTTAGAAGGAGGAGTCCTGTTCATAATATAAATACAGAATTAAATTCATTTCTGATTTTTAAAGAGTTATCTTCACCTTGATTTTATTTAAAATAATTTAATAAACAAAATCAATATTTTTTTTTAATTCTGACAAATAATAGAGGAAGGTCTAATGAATGCTAATCAACAAAAATCAGTCAAAAGAAAAATTTGCCAATTTTTCACAAGTGGACCATTTTTGCTCAGTTGTGCAAACAAAAGGAAAAAAAAGCATCAAAACATGTTGGTACCATTAATACTACCTATTTTAATATAAAAGTTGAGGATGTTAGATTGAAGTATAAATGGATTTAAATTGCAGGCATCATAAGTGGATATAGTTGTTTTAAAAAAAAAAAAGTAAAAAAGAAAAAAAAAAAAAAAAAAAGAGAGAACATGCCCCCACCCTAAAACTTATTATTCAGGAAGAGTACCTAATCAGTTTCTTTCATTATTCCTGAACAATGTGTTGTGTTATAGTCATGGGTTCTATCCACACTTCAGTTTCTTTGGAATGGATTTTATTCCTGAAATAAATTGTTAAACCAAAAATGAAGTATTTAATATTTTGTATTGTCTCTTCCTAAAATTTCCTTATAAATGATCAGTTTACTGGATTGATGACAAGAAAAATAAAAGCTAAAAAGAGATGAGACTAGGGAAATTTATCATTGGTTCCGGTGAATTCAGTTTTCAACAAATATGTACAACTATGAGTATCTTGTGATAATTTTAATCCAATATAGAATCAAAAATCATATAAAATAAAATAGGTATATAACTATTTTCATAAATGGTATATAATTATTAAAGAAATGCTAAATATGTTGTATTTAAATTTACTAAATCATGTCTTCAGTTTTAGTACTTTGATCCTAAACTGACTGAAAATATACTTAGTTTTGGGAGCTCAAAGTTTGTTAATTTGTCAATTTTTTCTCTTATGAGAGAGGATCAATCAGTGAACTGGTTTAGCTGTGTTTAATTGTTATATTTTGGTACTACCAATTTACGGTAATATTTTTTGTTACCCCTCTTTTTTGTTATGAATGCCCTTTTAATATGTCTGCTTTTAAAGCTCTAATAAATTTTATTAATTGTTTTGTGATTTTTATGCTGAAGGCATTAGGAATCAACTATAATCTTTGTTTCTTTATTTCATATAAACGTTTAAATGGAATTGATAATTTGTCATGTATAGGAAACACACCTTTTCATCAAGGGTTGTTGCCCCAGCCAATTCAAGACAAACTTAGTAAGGTCATTGCTAATTTGTTTTTCTATTATAAAATTTGATATCAGACATCAAGATGAAGGTATTCTAAATTATGAAATTTATACATATTTGTATAAAGAGAAATACTTTAAGCAGTATCTTAAAAAGAAAAATAAACAATTGAATTCAGATCATTTTTCATGATTGCATTTTTCTTTAGTTATATTTTTCTTTTATTTTTCAAAAAAAAAAATAAAAATGGCTGAAAATATATTAATTCTTTTTTTTTAATTTAAATTAATCATTTCAAATCGATGATACTCCATGTTATAAACAATGTTTAACATCCTCACATGATACAAAATCATTGTTACATTATTGTTACTTTGTTGCCGTATCATTTAATGTATTCCCTACTTAATGTTAAGGAATGAGATACTTGCCCCCCCCCCATTCCCTTTGTATCAGAACACTTCCTCTCAATGTAACAAAGATTTTGGCAATGTGATCTAAAAAAACAAAAAACAAAACTGTCTACAGACATTGTAGAATAATATTATATGCTATTTAAATGCAATTCAGATAAAGTACAAAATGAGGAATTTGGGTTATATGTGACTCACACTGAATAGTTGAGTTATGTTCAGTTAAATACAAAATAAGAAAAAGATTAAAATATCTTTAATAAAGCAAATTATAATCATTTTTTACAATTCATCTCTCAAATCATATATCAAAGAGAAATAAACATAGTATTTTTTTTACTGATCTGTAACATTTTGTATTCTTCACAGATCCTATCTCAGGAGATTAAACTGATTTCTACTTGGTTAGTCAAATTTTGAAAGCCATAAATAAAATTTAAAAGACCAACAATTTCAAGAACAAGGATTTAGTTAAGCCTTCAGCATCCAATATTCATACTCATAAATAATTTTGTTTATACCTACAAATTTCTGAGATGAAGTTTTGCAATTATTAATTTTCAAGTTGTCTTTCTTTCATCTTATTTCTGTTGCATTTTATTGTGGTTTTTAGATCATTGTTCTGTGTGTTAAATAAGCAGCATGGACTGAAAGTAAGTAATTAGTTATTTGATTTATCTAAGAAATTTGTAGATAATTACATCAAATATTACCAGTGTACACAAAATGGCAATAATATAACTATCATAGAAATAAGGAATAGATTTATATGGCTTATTTGAGCAATGCTTTTATAATTAAACCAATAACAACACTGTCATGCAAAGACAAGCTCCCCAGGATAATAAATATAAGCTCAAATCTTACCAGAGGTTTATTATTTATTCCTAATTCACATTGCTTATTTAACACTACATACAAGATAGCAACTACAATTCAGGCATTGTGCAATTCATTTCACTCCCAGTGAATCTTTCCTTATATTTTTGTCTTAATTCTATAACTATACATTCAACCTTGATCCTTGAAGTTTAATAGTTTATTTGGAAAGAGGGAGCAAAAATGAAATAATCCCTGTAATTGTCCAGAGTGATAATGTTATCTGCATTATTATTGCCATGCAAAATGTGATTACTGTAGACATTACAAAAAGGTAAGCCACCCTTCTTTATGTATTGTGACCCCCTCAGGATGTGGGTGATGATGGCTCTCCACAATTTTCTGTCCTTTGCAGCTCTTAATAAATTTTGTCATTTTGTCCTAAACCCTGTTCTGTTATCCAAACTCTCTAGATAGGTTATGTGTTATTTTCTGCTGTCCCTCTTCCCTTAAATCTGTCCTGTGAGTATAAAGCCACCCACTCCCCCATAAGAAAAAAACAAAAACTAGGGACATTTAAATAACATCTAACACATCTAGAGAAGATACCCCCCCCAAATGGTATCTATTGAATAAGTGCTTGTATACTCAAGTATAAACACAGATGGTTACCCATGGATTTAAATATAAATACTATGTTTACATATGAATTTAAGAAGACGAAAGGAAAAATTATTCTTAGTTGATGTGTTTTATCCTCTGAGGAACTTTATCAATGTTTGCCTTGATAAAGTCACTCAGAGGACAAAACGTATTGGCTATGAATAGTTTTTCCTCTTGTCTTTTTATTCATTTTGTTCACTATCTGAATCTAAATTTACATATGGATTTAAGTATAATATAAAACCTGATTTCAAAATTATTGCAGTAAGTGTTGAAATGTAAAATCCACTAACCCATTATTACTGATGATCATGAAGTGGTAATTCAGTTTTCTTCATACTTAATTTCCTATTATAAATATTTTTTTTGTCATTTAATTACATCTAATGTGTAGAATCCAACATTTGTGATACAATCTGTTAATAATATCAGTAAATGTTTCATTTTTGGACAGTTATATTTTGCTTTCCTTTACTTACATTAAGAATTTGATTGGCACCATTTTAAATTATCAACTGTTTTTTGACTGTTTTCAGTGATACTATTTAGCTTTAATATCATTGATGCATATTAGTTTGATTGGAAAGCAACGTCAATGAAATGTAAGCATGTAAAAAAAAAAAAAAAGAGCCATGAATAATCATTGGCAAAATTAGGTGAATTGATTCTAAAAATAAACTCAATACTCTAAATTTTTAAAAGTTATCTTAGAGTGGATATTTTTATCATATATTTTATAGAAAGTTTAATAAGTATATGAAGACAACAGAAATAACCAAGAAAATCCTTGCTTATCAACAGCATTCAATTGAATAAGAAAAATAAAATTGAAATGTCATACTGTATATAAAATTTTATACACATGATTTGTTAAGCAACTTAGCATTTCACACAAAAATTACTATACTAAGGAAGCTGCTTAAATTTTGATGCTTGGCTCTAATAGCAAAGAAAGATAATTCAACGTAATTAGTAGAATTGGTAAAAACTTTTAATACAGTATAAAAAACAATAAGTAACTGTTTAATTTTACATTTTTCTTTGAGTTGTTTAAACCAGAATGAGATCAGTCATGGAGTTGCTTAGGATGTAATCAAATTTGCATACTGTTACTTATGAGCTATTTAAATTACATTTAAAAAAGAAAAAAAAAAGAGAAAAGGAAAAAGTGTATTTTTGCTCTTGTTTATTTAAAATTTCTTTATTTTTTTCTGTCATGGTAGAATTATGTTTTTCAATAATCAGTAATAAGTGTTTTGTATGTGTTATACCATAATACCTATTCTATTGTAATAGACTCTCCCACAGATAATAAGTAGTAGTAGCAGTGGCCAGTTGGGCTCAGTGGTGTTGAGCGAGTCAGTCGATATCGGACATTGAAGTACCAACCATCACAACTAGATTGCTGCGTCATTAACTCTTATTTCCAAGTTCCTAACGTTTTGTACGTTGAACCTAATTTAGGACAACTTATTGAAATACAAGCCTCCACTGTGAAAACTATTCTACAACAGTATGCAACAGGCAGCTTTCTTTAAAAAATATCCAGAGAAAAGAAAAAAAGACTTATTTCACCTTTTTAAACAATTATAAAAGAAACAAAAGGAAAAAAATATTGGGATACAGAGGGAAGTGAACGATTTATTAAAATGATATAAAAAAAGCGAACGTGGTAATGGTTGAGTAGAAAAGGCAGCAAACTAAACCTGACATAATTTCTACACTACATTACTAAATAAATTAAGAAAAAAAACATCAGTCTTAATCTTTGCATCTGGGACCTTGCCTTTATGTAGGTTTTTCTATGAAATTTCTACAGGTTCAACTGTTCTGGTTTTTCTTTTCTTCTAAGACTTTGTATTTTTCTGCAGCTTGTTCCTAGAAAAAAAAAAAATATATATATGTACACACACTTGTTTGAGTTAAAGATCAAATATGGATCAGAATCCCGCTGGAAGATAAAATAAAGAACAAATAAGAAATGTGTATCAATCTAACATATTTCACTTTTATTAAGGCTTCGTCAAAGATTGAGAGAAAACAGACAAAAATGAAGAGAAAAACTTTGGTATTTTCAATTTTGTTTGCGTCAATTCTTATTGGTCAGTCATGTATCATGCACTTCAAAACTGTAGATAATTCTATATGCATGTAAGTATGGTATGTCTAATTGGGCATTGGATGGTAATGTGTATATGTATCTGTATAGTAGGAGGAGTTCTAATGTTTTCACCTTTGTGCAATCAGCCAACGCAGTGGGGGTAGCATTTCATTTTAATGTAGGACTGTTTTTTTTTTATGCATGTACTCTTAATATTCGATTGCTATAAGCTAGATTCTTTAAGAATGGATTCAAAGAAGGATGGCGATGTAATGTTTTAAGCGTGTGTTTATAGTTGGTAGTAATTTTAATATTAAGCTTTCAAAATATTTTCTCCTTAAAGAATTGTTCTTTTTTAATTAGGATGGCATTAGTGAAAGATTGTCCAAAAGCAAATCTCTCATGTTCGTAGATGTGAGTTTTTAAATTACGTGATATCTCCCTGACACACTTGTTTATAAATATATTATATAATTGTATTATAAATATAAGAATACTTATGTATACGTTTGAACCTCCAATTTTCACTAAGCTAACTTGCAATACTAAGAATTACAGTAAAGGATAAATAAAGTATCGTTTAGAAGACTGATTTTATGAAATTTAAATAAACGGCAATAAATCCGATGTAAATTAGAGTTTTGTTCAAAATGTCAGATATTAACGTTTCATAACGTATTTGTATATATGTATGATGTTAAAAAAATACTTTAATTGCATCAATTTTTTTTTTTTTTTTTTTTTTTTACATAATATAGTTATTCAATACAGACTTCAGTATATGTAAAAGAAGCCATGTACTTAATTTGGGCTTTAAAGTATTCCACAATTCCATTGCAAATAGATAAAAATATTTGATAAATCTTCTCTGGCATAAAATCTAATTCAGCACATAATGAATATTATGAAAATAATTTCAAAAATGAATCTAATTTCAGGAAGGTTCACAATGCTAAGTATTTAACAAATGCATTGAGTCAATTTTGGTTTTCTTTATCAACTATTCTTCAAAAAATAAGGTACAATTACATTTTATTCAATTATATATTCATCATTATTGACACTTATAAAGTAGCTCCTTGGAGAATTTAAAACAACTTTTTTTTTTTTAAAACAGGATCCCCAGTTACTGAAAATCTGCTCTGAATTGTAAAATAAAAAAATGCAATGAAACCAAGACATTATTTAATTAGAAAAGCTTTTAATTGCTTTTATGAATAAGATATATTATGGACTTAAGAAAAAGATTTTTCAATGAATAATGAATTATTTTACAAGAATTATTTTCATTTTAAGAATTTTTCATTAGAATAATTTATAAAGTTTTAAATTTTTGTATTAATTCGTACTGGTTAGGTGATATTGCTATTAAGTAAAAAATGGAAAAGGTTATTTCAATTCAGAGACACAGAATAGTTTAAAAAGAATTCTAAATTTATTTTTTTGTGTGTATAAACATGCCAATTTTTGTAAATAGAGACATCCATACATGACATTATCATAAAATAAGAGCAATAGCTATAGTAAGTTTAAAGCCAAAATACCAAAAATTCATTAAAATGGATTACGGAGAATATTTTCCTAAATTTTTAAGATTACCAAGTCGTTAAAAATTATATAAAAAAGGTACTCATGTTATATTCCTTAAGTAATTTTTACAGATATGTCCCCCATAGAAAAAAATTAGATAAACTTCCAACTGTCAGTTAAGCTGTCAACACATACCTCTGTGATATTCTAAAGTAAAAATAATGTTTCAAATCAGATTGATTATACTTTAAATCAGTTAATATTCCTCAAATAAAGTTTCAGAAAAGTATTTTATTTTTTAAAGATTTTTTAATAAAAAGAGAATTACATTGTGTTGACAGATGGCTAAAAATGGTGCTACAATCAGTGCTTAAAAAAAAAAAAAATTCTTCCAGTCACTTTAAATTAGTTTTGAAATTGGGTCAAACGTCGCCGAGAGAAAGAAAGGGTCAAGCAAATATAGACCAGTGGTGGAAGAGTTCAGGTTCGCCTTAAATAGTAGTAATTGTTGTTTTTTAGTGTACGGCGTGCGTTTTTCAATGTTTTCCCTATTTGGCTCTTTTTTTGTGAAGGTGTGTATATAAGAAATTGTTTGTTTTTGTACATATATATCGTCTTGTGTGTTTTTTAGCAGGAGTGGAAAAATCACGTCGGGGTCACCATTTGTAGAGGGGCCGTGGCATGTTATGTTGGCGGTTACGGTTTGTTGAGAGAAGTCAGACGTGGACGAAATGCCTGTATGGTTCAGATACTCCTGCCTGCCGGGCCCAACTACATAAAAAGGTTGGACTTTGATTAAGTCCAAAGAAGAAGGAAAAGAAAGCAAACAACACAAGACCGATAATATATGTATACACAACAAATATATATTCATAACAAGTTACAATACAGGGAAACAGTACGAAGGACAAAGTGTGTGTGAATATTCTGTATGTGCGTGCGTGCGTGCGTGCGTGCGTGCGTGAATAATCTGTGTGTGCGTGCGTGTGTGCACGCTATCCCTTGTTAGCGACTACATTTCGAGGTTGATAGTTAGAGTCCTCTAGGAAGCAGAGAAATTTACCTCGGGGTGTTAGTGCCCAGGCCTGAAAGGGAAAAAGAGCTCGAGCCGAAGGGTCATTGGCTATTTATAGCCAGGAAAGAGAGACCTCTGGTGAAAGGGTTACGAACTTGAAGGAGGAGGTAACTCCGACATACATCAAAGTATTTTTGGAATATTAAATTTAATCTATTTGTTTGAAATTAAAACTAAAATAAAAAGGTTCAAGAAAGATTTCTCATTTTTTAAAATTCATTTTAAACCTTAGGTATAGTGTTTCTTTGGAGAAATATTTTGAAATTTTTATATAATGTGCATATATGAGGAGGAATGTGGTAAGGAACAGTGATAATAAATATTACTTTACCTTGTGCTTGATGTAAGACAAAATAGTATCCCAGATTAATGTGATGAAACAGACATAAAGAACTCTGTATTTAGTTGGCAAGAAGTAAAAATTAATAAATTGAGCAGGTGGCCAAATGAACCAATCCATCTACAAAGTAAAATACAAAATTTAAAAAAAAATTTCATGTTTTATTTAGAAATAAAGTTCATATAGAATTATGTTTAATTTAATAATCATTATGCAATATATCAGATGACTAATTACATTTAAAATTAGTATACAAAGACAAAGTTGAAAATCATTTAAAAGCCTTTTGAAATTCTGATGTCTATGGGAAATCTGAATTTTCTATTAGCTTACGACATAAAACAAAATCCCATACTTTTCATTTTTTCAATGAAGGTCATTAATTAACAATAAAAGAGGAAAAGTAAAGAAAAAAGTACACAATCAGAACAAATTAGAATTAATACTACCTTTGACTCATAATAGTTGTTACATTTAGTGTACTAAGTGTGCATGCAAATGCAACAATTATGGGACAGAAGTAGTATTGTTTTATGACAACACATACAAGATTATTGGAATTTAATTAAATATCTAAGTTTTTGTTTTTAATAGACAAGGTTTTCAGTTCTAAAATTTTTTCAAGAATAACTTGTAATTATGTATCCTATTCTCTGATGCATTAATAGGAAGGAATTCTCTTGTTATTTCACATGAATCTGTGGAACAGACAAACATTTTTCTCATCTTCCTTCACAGGTGTGATAATACCTTTTAATGAAAATTCTATTAGAAAAAATACTGGTGATCAAATGGAAACAATTTGTAAGATTAGATCATATTTAACAGGTAGTTATCCTTTAATTTAGATCAACTGAACACTTTTCAAAATTTAATGACATGCCACAAACTTTCACTTGATTATAAAGTTAAAGTTGATAATCAATGGAAGAATTGTTGGAATTTTAAATCTGACTTATGGAGAGGAGAACGTAGAAAAAATATAATGGCAACTATTAGCATTTGAACTAAAACTCAGAACAGAGAGAAAAAATGATAATGAATTCTTACTTGTAACTGGCGTAATCTTGTGTCAATTGCTTGTATCAAATTGCAACAACAAAAAAAAGCACTATATGTTGCCTACAAGTAATTCTCCTTGTAGAAGTAATGGTAGAAATAAAAGTTAGGATTCTTATTAACAGTTTTGATAATGTGTCCAGCCAGCTTCAAAAGAGAGTAGAAAAGAAGGAAGGAAGTCTAGCCTTTGGCTGACTATTTTGGTATTTTATATCGATAGATTGACTGGAACTCATTTCTATAAATTTTCTGTGAAAATGAAATATCTTTAGTTTTATTTACATCATAAGATAAAAGTTGAACTCCCTCATTTCTCTCTCTCTCTCTCTCCACAAGAGTTTCACTAAGGTAAGTGCACAAGGTTTCTACAGAATTTGCAGCATCAATTATAACAAAGTAATACTGATTTAAACAAAAGAAATAGAACAAATCTAATTATTTATTCAATAAAAACATTTCTCCATTAAACCTCTTTACATTCTGCCTACACAGCTGAATGTTAATTCTTTTTTTAAAAATAATTCATCATTCAAAAAACTGATAAAGTTATTGAAAGCTTCTTGTAGATGCTTGATAAAATAGTAATCCAGCAAAGAGATGGGTGCAAACAAATAGGTTATAAAAATTTTCAATTGATTCAACTTTAGTAACATTTTTGCAACATGAGGCTAAGTATTATCATGAAGCAAAAATGACACCTTTTCTAAAGAAATTCAAGTTTTCAATGTAACATTTCACTCTAGCTTACCTATCTACATACATTGTTTGGTTATTTCTGTTTTGCTAGATTCTCAAAATAACATTCCAAGGATGATAAAAATTTTGGTTGATGTTTCAGCTTGTTCATTGATATGAACCATTGTGGAGATCTTTACCCAATTATTATAGGAATACAAAATCAATTTTTTCACAAGTGATGGTATACACACACTCGTTTTTGATATTCTGAAAACTGAACATTTTTTTCATGGCTGGAAAAGTTATTGGGTGCTTTGGCACAATTCATATCAGTTATCTCGGTGATGCCACTAGTCAGATGGGCTGCTGTTGTTCATGGATATTTGTTTTTTTTTGTTTTTTGGATGAATTGTTAACAGTAGAAGATCCCCCTCTAGGTAATAATCAATTTCTTTACTCTATAGACAGTATCTGTATTATCATTCTGAAATCTGAAAGTGTTTGGCCTCAAGGGTTTTGGAAAAGAGATTGTGTACCTGAAATGCAAAAACAAATCACTTTCCTATTAGTGAAGCTAATTAAAGCAGGCCTCCCTCTGCCTGATGTGTTTTGCCCTGAATTCAAATCTAATCCATTTAGCTTTTTTTCTTTTTTGCCCAACACTGAAATGACTTGAAAGAGTTTTAATTTCTACATTGAAGTTTTGTATGAATTCTCAGATTTTAATGCTATTTCTACTAAAGCCTTCTGATCATTGATGCTTTTGTGTGACCTCTACTGTTTACCTAAATTGAAATCTTCACTCGTTAATTTTTGAAACTCAGAATCTCATTTGTTTATTAACAGCATTGTCTACAAATACAGATTCCCCAAAGCTTTAACTCTATTAAAATTAACCTTCAACTAATACATGGTTAAAAGTTAATTTCAAAATATTTATGGTATATTCTGATTGGTGGTAAAACAGTAAGATTTGTTTATTATGTTCAAACCCATGAAATGATTTCCCTACAAATTAACGGCTCTGCAGATTTGTGTTTGGAGCCTACTTGTCTGGTAAATAAGGGGGACAGCTGCTACCAGAATTTCAGGTTGCCCGAGTCCAGAAGAAAAATGACACAGAAGAATTAGACAACCCATTGGAAAATGATAATTGAAATGAATAATCCAGTCTTTTCTTAAATTAGTGTGATTGATCTAAATCTTCAGTTAACACAAGAAAAAGAAATAACAAATTTTCTTCATACAAAAGTGTGCCAAATTTCTCACTGACAAAATATTCAGAGAGGTATTTCTCTTTCTCTATTAAATGTAGTTTTTATTTCAGCGGACCTTTTTATGCATAACATTAACAGGTGTTTGCTAAATTTGTATAAGGTGTTGAATTTAAACATTGTTTGCAATACTTTTATTTGTAAAGGCATGTTAATTTTTGTTGTTCAATTTTACATGTTATTGGCCATCCTTAGACACACAAAGGACTAAATTTGTGTAGATATTTTGTGTGTTATGAATAAATTTTATAGCTTTTAAATTCAATTTGTGTTATTTGTTGTGTGCCAATAACTGTTGTTACCTCAAACATTTGTTTAAAATTTTTTATGTAGGATATTTTTCCAAAAATCCTTTATCTATTCTATAATATAATATGATATAAAAAATAATTGTGATTTCAATTCCTGGGCAGAGCAGTTTGTACCTGAAAACAGTGAAAACTGGATGAGCAATAACTTAGTACTAAATAAAGACTAGATGAGATATCCCTAGACCTGGTCAACAGAATGAGAACCATCTAACCTTGAAAATTAAATAAAGTGTTAAGTTTGAAATTACCTGGATTGACATGTACCTGATGAAGGCTGGAGTGGATAGTACAACAGTTGAAATGCTGTGATAACAAAGCTAAAGATAACAGACCACATGCAAATAATGTAAAACACAATATGACTTATATTTATTGGTCACATACTCCCCCACCCAGATACACTGTGGCTCTGTTGTCACTCTATTTCTACCAGTCCAGTCCTTTACAACTAAGACACACTATGCTACTTCCATTGTATCAAATCACCCTCATTTCCTTTGATTTCCAAATGTAAAATGAAAATTCAGCTTTCCCCCAAGAACAGCCATTTTGTGCAACAGGGACTGGTGTAGAATGAACACTACAATCTTAAAGTCAAAGGTCAGTCATTATCAGTCCTCCTTATACTCATAATCTTCACTTCCTACCATTTTTTCTTTCATTCATATAGCATTTCGTAACCTTTACCTTGAGTGCCTTGTATTGTGTAAATGCTAGTATTAAAAAAAACAAAAAGCCTGATATGAGATAATCTGCTGTTAACACTATTGTAAACCAATAAACAGACCTCATTTTATAACAATGGAATATCCCATTAGGATTTTGGGGAGAGCAGGTTGTTAATATATTTTTAACTTTAAATATTTTTTTAAACATAATTTTTTCTCACATATAAAAATCCTGTTAAACGTATCAATAAAAATCCTAGATTATTCCTGCAGAAAAAAATAAAAAATAAAAAAAGTTAGAAAATCAAATTTTGTGGGATCCAGAACATTTGTCTAAAGAATATTGGTCTAAGGAACTCACATCTAAAGAATATATGTCTAAGAAATATTTGTTTAGAGAATTGTGGTCTTTAGAATTAATATACAAACACTGTATTCCAATGCTTATAAACTACATGTATCATCAGTAATTAACGTTGCTATAAGTGCCTTAAATATTATTCTGTAATATAGTGAGTATCAATAAAATTGAGTATTTTGTACATGAATAAAGTGTTAATTTATTAAGAAATATTATAGATCAATAATCCTTAGATGGGTATTCCATAGGCAAATGTCCTTAGACAGTTCTCCCTTAGACCAATATTCTTTAGAAAAAAATGTTCCTAAATGCAAATTTTATTGACGGTATGGCTAAACTAGTATATAATAAACCTATTAATCCATTATTCGCCAAAAGTAGTAGAAATAAAGTTTCTATGAAAACTATTTCTTCTATATAAAAAGTGGTGCATAATTTTTTCCTCAAATGATCAACTCGTAAGCATAAATAATTAATTTAACTTTTGCTAATTCCAAAATAGTTTATTTTTCATTTCATTCTTAATTTTTATCACAATCCTATGGTTGTTTTTTATCTTTCAAAATTCATTAAATAAGCAGCATGGAATAGAAAAAGTCCTTGACAAGAATTGAACATCTCATTTCCTAACTTTGAAATTAAATTAGCTTGCCATCAAGAATTATTATGTAATATAACATTATGTGATATTTTTATTTTGAATGTCTCAGAACGTCTCTAAGATCATCAAAAGTTCTTTTTCAATTATCTTTTATGCATGATTAATCCATTTTTATTCTATTTATACAAATCTCAAAATTAAATGGAAAAAAAAAACTCAAATTAAAAAAAATACATAAAAATTAAAATTTTGGTAAACTTACCACATAAATAACAAAAAATTTCTCCTTCAATTCTGCAACACTAACTGTCCAACTTTTTCCTTCTAAGAGAGCCATACCTAAAAAGATAAACATTTTAATTAGAGGAGAAAAACATTTAATAAAAAAAATAAAATAAAAAAATAAAAATTTGCACCAATATTCTACTAAAGAATACTTTCTTTTTTTGACAGCAGCAAGAACATGGTAATATTGTCCAATCTCTCTTGCAGTGATATAAAAGTGTTTTTTTTATCACTGTCATCAGTGCTGAAACACATTACCCACTGACTGCTCACATACATTATTTGGTCTCCTTAAACATTCAGTAAACATAATGGAATGTTAACAGCCTCAATTTTTTTCACTAGGAGGAATTCAATAACATTCTGTTTTGCACCCACTTTCATGTCAGACACCATTTTGCCAGACTGCTGCCCAGCTGTTATCTGTTATCTGTTAAGCAAAAAATATTGGCAGAAAAGGTTAATCTTTATTCTTATGCCATCAAAATCTGCCTCTGGTCCTGTGGGCCAGTATAATAAAACGGTAGTCATCATTTTTGGAGCCGCTCTCATATATCCTAATAGATGAAGAATTGTGAGCAGTTAGAGGAATGTGAGATAAACATTAGAAACAAACACTAATAAAAAAGATATACTAAGAAAATGGTGAAAGATTGTAGGCTATCAACTTATGATACTAACACAACAAAATAAAAATATAAAATATCATATAAAAATAAAATAACTTTTCTATAATCTTATGTAAGATGATAGAAAAGTCATTTTCTATTTTTAAGTTGTCATATCATGTATAATAGGATTTGGTAAAGCAAAAAATACAAGACAGAACAAAGAAATATTGATGAACCAGAAATTAGAGAAAAAACATGTATCCATATATGTAACTTAAAAGATGCTAGCAAACAATGTGGATTTAAAAAGTAAATTGAACAGACAAAAGCTTACATGGAATCATAATCTTAAAGATTATTCAATTTTTTCTTAAAGAACAAACAAAAGGCATAAATTTTTCTTTAAGGTTTGTTTCAATGGAATTTGGTATATTGAAGAGATTAAAAATATGAACATGATTAATCTATCATCTTGCCTAATTTTTATTTGACTAAAACATGTTAAGACCCATATAAATATGACATGTTCTTTCAAAGCATGTGCAATCATGACTTTCCACAATCTCTTGTCTTTTGTTGCTCTAACTCTTGCCTCCTTTATGATCTCTCTTTATTCTTGTTCTGTCATCCATTCATTCAAACTTGTTAAGTAACTTACTCATTATTTTCCTTGCTTCATTTGCATTTAATGTCCTGTAAGTGCAACTTTGTAATTTAGTAAAGACACACACTAATATAAGGACCTCCATAAAAAAAAATGCGATATTTAAGATTTAAAATTAATGTTTTAAAATGAAAAATTTTCTTGAAGCTTTTATTTTAGTTTTAAATTCAACCTAATAGATTAAATTCAATATTTTCAATAAGTAAAATACTTTGTATTTCAAAGATTAATTTAAATTGACTGGAAGGAGTTTTTGCTAAAATAACTGATTAGCACACTTTAGTTGTCTTTCATCACACTGTAATTCTCTTTATTAAAAAACCTTCCAAAAATAAAATGTACTTTTCTAAAACTTTATTTGAGGCATATTAGCTGATGTAAATTATAATTAATCTGATTTGAAACAAATATTATTTAAATTTAAGATATTGCAGAAATGCATTCTTTAACCTGATAATAGCTGTGTTTTTAATCCGACAGTAGCTGTTTTGATGTGTTGACAGCCCATTTTTATATAATTTTGAAGTACTCAGTAATCTTAAAAATTTAAGAAAATAATCTCCATAATCTGATGTCTTATTGAATTTTAGAAATTTTGAATTTAAATTTCCTATAGTTATTGCTTTTTTTTCTGATAAATCTTGTGTATGGTTATAATTAAAAATAAATCGATATGTTTATACACATATAAAAAAAATTAAAATTCTTTTATTGGTGTTTGATCCATTTATGATCAGTAAATATAGTTTTCAATTAATATCATCTAAAAAGGCTGAAATTGATATAGAATTTTAAAATATTTAAAACTTAATTTTTCTACTTAAAATTAAAAAAAAAAAAAAATGAAAAAATTCTTATAAAAATTTATTCATTGAAAAATTATTTTTTCTCAAGACAATAGGGTCCTTAATATATCTTATAAAAGCAATTGAAAGCTTTTCTAATTAAATAATGTCATATTTTTTGCATTTTTATTTTATGATTTTCGGTAAATGGTGTTTCTGTTTGACAAAAAGAAATTGATGATTTAAATTCCCCAAGGAGTCTTGCTTTTAACTGATATGAAGAGACTGAAATTTTAATTTCATAAAGTTAAGTGGGGGTAAAAGATGTAAAAATCAAAAAAATCAAAATTTATTTGTGAATAAGTCCTGAAAATTTCATTAAAATTCGACAAATATTTAATTTTTTGCAAGAATTTCCAAAAGAATGTGTTTAAAGCAAAAACAAAAAATAAATAAATAAAAATCCCTACTAATCTTTGATTGACCTGCTGATGCAAGCAAAACAAGATTTTTAACAAAAATTTCCAATGTGTTAAAAAATTTAATAAAATAAAAAAATTACTTTGATCCTTCCTCTTAACATTTTGTCGATAAAAATTTGTTTTAATCAAGATTAGGGCTTTTTTTCATCATGGTATGCTTTTTTTTTTTATTTTTATTTTTTTTATTTTTTTCAGAAAACTGTTGGGAGGTACAGCTACTACCTGAGAAAAAAAAGTTATTGCCACTTATCTATTCTTCAGAAAGCTTTTTAGTTCCAGTGTTCCCGTTGTAAATCAAACTTTATGCCATCTCCGTATTTATCTTCCTTTCATTACACACACCAAAATATTTTTAATAATACAGAGAAAAGAAATATTTATTAAAAAATTAAAAACAAAACAAAAAAAAAACAACTGACAGAAAATGAAATGTTTTTTTACCCATTAGGAACGTTGTACAGAAATAAGGGGCCGCTACACACTGATCACAGCAGATCTTTTTAAAAACAATTTTGCCAGCATTTCCAACGAGCATCTTATCTAAGAATGTGTACCAGGCATGATTGAAAGGACCCATCAAAAGTCCAACTGTAAACATCCGTCCTATAAAGAGAGAATAAATAAAAATTAAGAGGCAAAAAGAAAAAAACTAAAATGTAATTTTTTGAAAATATATACAAGTAATAAGTAATAGAAACAGAATTTTGAATTAATTCAGTGATTTTCTAAAAAGCATAGATAATCAAATTTCTGTTCGGTTTGAAAATATAAAAATTACTGACGAAAAGGGAAAGGAAACTTCATATACAAAAACATTGCATATCCTAATGGTCTCTAAAATATTTGAAGCATAACACAACTTTGACAAATTCCTTTCACCTGGCATTTAAACTACTTATTCAGCATCAGGAGAAACTTACCAAATACAATTACGGGAGAAAGAAAATTCTGTTAATGCTAAAAAAAAAAGGGAAAAAAATATTCAGAAAAAAGTCTAGCTCAAAATGTTTTTCTGAGCGCCTAAAAAGTTCTATAAGCGAGCAGATTGTTGAAGGGTTAAAACACTCACAGATGTCTTCAATGTTCTTGTGTTGGAGGGATCTGTCAGAAGATACGAATTTTGTAGTTGAGTGAGTTCGTAGGCCGGCGACAGTTGCAAGGAGGCAGATCTCACTTGGTTTTTAGCAGTGGGCCAAGGTACTGTCTTTACAGCCGAGTGGATAATTCTTTCTTGAAGCTGACTGGTGTTCTCTCGCCGTCCTGAAGTTATCACAGACGGTTGTTGAATTCTCACTGCCAAATAGGCGAAGATTCTCCGTATATATGGAGATTAGAAGGCTCAGAAATATCGGACGATTCCCTCCAAAATTGCTATACAATTTTCCTAGCCCTTTCATTCGTTAGAAAATATATTCTTATATCTGTTAAGAACAAGGTTTGGTAGCCGGTAAGGATCCAACAAGCTGCGAGCGTCTCCCCCAGACTTCATAGCACCAAGGACAGGATAATGATGTTCAAACTCCTTTTTTATAATTTCCAGCTCTCGTTCGTCAGAAAATATATCCTTATCTCTGATAAAGAACAAGGCTTTGGGAGCCGGATTTGAAAGTAAGGGAAAAAAGTTGTGATGAGGATTAGAAAAGAGGTTAGAATATGAACCTGTAATATATTGTAGTCGTGGTTCTCAAATTAAATTCCAATACGTTCGCCCCCCCTTTCAAAAAAATATGCAATAAACTTCCGTTTGTTGCAGAAAAAAATTCCATAGATTAAGATATGGATGAATTAATCTAATTAAAACCAGTTAATTTGGAAATACATTTGTTTTAGGAAAAATCTTACAGAAAACGTAAAGTTTATTTTTACATGAGTAAATCTAACCATCCCACCTGGGAAAAATATAGAAATAATAATGTAATTTTATTACTAAACTTATTTTAAAATGAAAAAAAAAAATCAATCACACATTTGAAGCCCAAAGTTCTTCGACTTCGTGGGCCTAAAATTAGGAAAGTTTAAAACTTGCTTTCAACGAGCAAATACATTTCCTGAATTTTTATAAAAAAAGGACTACTGACAACACGCAAGTTTTAAATAATTTAGCCTATCCCGCCAGAGAAAGGAATAGATACATTTGACTGCAAGTTTACAATTAAATTTATAACATATTCAGAGCTCAAAGTTCTAGTATTTCGTGGGCCTGAAATGAGGAAACAATATCTGCCTGGAATTCTATGATTCTGGAGGCCTTAGGGTACAAATTCCCACAATAATGCCGAGTAAATCGATGTTTATGTTACTACCAGAGTAGTTAGAAGTCATACCCAGGTCACTGGTGCAGTTTAGCATCATGCCCAGTATGGTAGATTTTTGCATGGTCATTTTGAAAGATGTATATATCGCCTGATATTAACTACAAAATTCCCCAAACTCTGCTAAAACTACCTAGAAAAGAAAAGAGAACCAACAAAAGAACTCTACACAAACAAATCCTTCCACTTAACGCACACACCTAGAACTAGAGTCTTCCGAAAGAAAACAAATTTGTTCTTAGAAGCACACAACTCCATGTTGAGCAAAATATGGGAAATTTGCTCCGGTTTTCCCACATGGAAGGTTTGAGGTTAAAAATGCGACAAAAAAAACAAACAACAAAAAAAAAACAAAAACAAAAAAACAACAACAAAAAAAAAAAAAACAAAAAAACAAAAAAAAAAAAAAAAAAAAACAAAACAAAAATGAAGCAACAACAGACTGAAAGATTAGAGCGGACAATTCTCTCTTTTTAGGCGGAAGAATAAAGACTCAAACTCCTGCTCGGTGTGTAACAAAAGAAGGAAATGTTTATTTACATGCACAAAAAAAAAAAAAAAAAAAAAAAAAAGGGTAAAAGGATATACAATTACGAGAGAAAGAAAGGGAGAAGGAAATTCCTTTAACTTTAAAGGAAGAAAAAATGTTCATAAAAAAGGCTTGCTCAAAATATTTTTCTGGGCGCCTAAAAAGTTCTTTAAGCAAGTAGATTGTTGAAGGGTTATAAAAACACTAACAGATTTCTTCAGAGTTCTTGTATAGGTGGAAACTGTCGGAAAATACGAATTTTATAGTCGAGCGAGTTCGGAGGCCGGCGAGAAATCTTCTAGTTGCAAGGAGGCAGATCTCAATTGGTTTTTAGTAGTGAGCCGACGTTCTGTCTTTACAGCCCAGTGGTTAATTCTTTCTTGAAGCTGACTCCGAAGATGAGTGGTGTTCTCTCGCCGACCTGAAGTTATCACAGCCGATTATCAAATTCTCACTGTCCAAGAGACGCTTATTCTCCATATCTATGGAGAATTAAGCGGCTCAGAAATATTGAACTTTTCCCTCCAAAATTGCTATTAAAATTTCCTGGCCCCTTCCTTGGTCAGAAAAATAAATCTTTGATAAGAATCAAGGTTTTGGGAGCTGCTTTTTGGAAGCATGGGTCTGACAATCTGTGTACGCTACCCCACCCCAGATTTTATGGCACCATGGACAGGATAATGGTAGTCAAATTACTATTTATATCTTCTAGCTCCCTCGTTTGTCAGAAAATATATGCTTATCTTTGATAAGAATCAAGGCTTTGGAAGCTGGATTTGGAAGCAGGGGAAAAGTTGGGGTGAGGATTGGAAAAGAGGCTAGACCATGAACTTGTAAAATATTGTAGTAATGCTTCTCAAATTAAGTTACAATAGTTTGAACCACGTCAGTACACTCAAATCATCAGTAACTGACTTTTGATTATGGTGAGTTCTGTGAATAAATAAGCTTTTAATTAAGTAATTATGTTTAAATGTTAAAATATAATTTAATTCATTGCATTTTTCTTTTAGGTTACTTTACCAAAGAAACGCTCCTATGAAGAAGGTGGTGAGGTATGCGGTGTGGGTGACGTCATGTCCCGACTTTAAGGATTTTTTTCTTTTTAGAATGACAAATAATTTTAATAAAAAAAAAAAAATACCGAAATAATTTTATTTTTATTCAGTCATCAAAAACCATTTTTTCCTTTTTTTCACAAGAGAAAAGTAGTGGTGTGACTTTTAACAAATTTTTTTTATTCCCCTCCTGTGTTTGTTTTCTCTTAGTTCAATTCTACGTGACATCATTAGGTATGTCACCTGTTAGGACCACATCTTTGTTAAAAGTCATTTAGGCAGAGGACCAATTATCTTTTTTTATTCCACAGTGTGTAGTCAGAAAGTCTTGTCACCCCTACATAATACAGTTTTCTATTTCAGATGGCTAACACGAGTTCCTAAGTGGTAGGGGGTGATAAGACTTTCGGACTATCCTGTACTTTTAATTTAGGAAGTAGTGAACTATTGCACAATTTTAAGTTTTTGATAAAAGTATATTATAATTAAATCTTCCATCATTTTTTACGATACTAGTAGTAATAAATTATTATATCCAAAAAGAAACAAAACATACTTAATTTCGAGATGATTTTTTTCAATTTTTCTTTCGTTAGTGGCCGCCGTCCACTAGTACCGGTCGTACGCACTTTACTTTGGGTAGCACTACTTTTTAAATGACTGAATTGAACTTAAATCGTTTGTCTCATAATGTTATTAGATCTGACGTCGATTTAAATACAGCATTTTCAGTAATCGAAACATTTTTGTTGTATGATTGAAACTCGAGTGAGAGAATCTTACAACGAAGGTGAAGGTCGAAGTACGCATAACAAACACGTGGTAAGAGAGAAAAAGAAAACATTTCTACCCGGCATGAAAATAGCTCAAGACGTTCTCAAACTTTGTCGGCATTTAAATGTATCTAACTTTCTTAACGTCATATTATTGTATTAAAAATTACGTTTTGAAAACAAAACTCTTGTAAAGAAAATTTTTTCCCGTTATACAAACGTAAAAAGGGATAATGTTTGTTTAGCAATTCAAAGGATTTCAGCATATTATTTTACTGACTTATCTCCCTTACATTTCCTCTTTTTATATAATATATTTTAACTAACCTCATATTTTGAGTCCTTTTGGAATCGAGGTCATGCACATAAAAGCGTCCGATATACAATAATTTATTTTAACAATTTTTCCGTAAATAATAATAATCAAAAAATCTCTTTGCAGGAAACAAAAGTGCACAGTGATGGGAAAATATTTTCGGTTAATAAATTCATTAAGGAAAAACAATGTTCTTGTTTTGACTTCTAACATTTTCCCACTACAATCTACAATACATGCAATGCAATAATGTACATTTTTTTTATATTGGTTGGGAATCGTCTTTTTGACTCTTATTTTTACAGCTTCAAGCTGAATAAAAAAAAAAAGAAAAGAATTACAATTACTATCAATTCAGTCAGTGTTTTTTTAAAAGCTATTTTAAAAAAATAAAAAGGGGGATAAGGAATTATTAGTAGTGTTTTATGGAAAAAAAATCGTTTGAAACGCTAAAGTAAACTTAAATAAAAAGTATTATTCGTTATTTTATCACTATTATTGTTACATACGATAAATGTCCTTTAGCACTCCCACCTCACAAAAAAAAAAAAAATATACTTCCATAGGACAGCAAGGACGAAGATTTAAAAAAAAAAAAAAATACTTTCCACTTTTTGAAAAGTACTTGCAATATAGTTGGTTAAAAAAAAAAAAAAAAAATTCTTCATATAATGATTGACACTATGCTTAGCTTATTTATACTAACCTGTGCGAGGCCAGTCGTATTTGAAGGTTGCTGGGTCGCGCTTGCCGTGTTCAATTTTTTGTGTAATCGCGTCCCCAATGGCTAAAAGACCACCACATGAAACAGTATTGGTGAGTAGAAGATATTTGCTGAACAGGTTGCCAGCAACTTTACGTATTTTAGAGAGCGCCATTGTTTATCATTTGAAAATTTCACTCGCACTTGAAATGATTTCGATGAGGTGAGTGTGGACACTTTCTGATGGTTACCTTTCTTGTTTTTGTTCGTTTTTTTGGGGGGGGGGTAAAGAGAGCTTGTCTCTCTTTTTCTGAGTGACGAGTGGTACTACCAGCAGATTGTAGTCGAGCGAATGTTTTTCTAAAGAAAAAAAAAAGAAGATATTTAGCAAAAGAAAAAAGCACAAAATTTATTTAGCAAATATACAACTAACCTAACAGTAACATTAATGAATGATACAGACATGCTCAAAAAGAAAAAATGTGCTTCTCTGAAAAGTAAAATAAAATAAAAAACATTCGATATATTTTTTTACATTAAAAAAGGCATTGCCAGTCAAAATTTCAAAAGCGAAGCGACTCATTTAATAACAAATTTTCTAAGTTGTAGAAATAATGTCCAATTTTAATGCAAAACATTTTAAATTTTCTAAACTATTTTAAAATTATTTTTAAAAAAGGAAGTAGTAGTAATTCTCGTTGACGCGTTGTACAAGGTGCCCTCAATAAGGAATGAACTCAATCGTAACTGACTCGCGACACCGGTTTGTTTATCATTACACCACAATGCAATGAAGTGTCCTTGTATTTTTAGTGCAAACATTTTGGGACAATTGAGCACCCAATAAAAACAAATAAACTACCTTGATTTGCAAGACTCACTTGCTAAAAACTAAGAGCTGGAAGTAATGTAAAAAAAAACGTGTTTTTATAATCATTTTATTTTGTTTTGTCTCAAATCGTTCGTTTTTTTTTTGTTTACTTTTTTTTTGTATCAAAGAATAAAAATACGGATTTTATGCAAGAATTTTAGTGAGCTAGTGAAATCAAAACTGTAGTAAACAATTTAAAAATTTTTTTCTAAGTTACTCATGTGCATCGTACATAAAAATATTAATTAATTACAATATATTTTGAAGTTGAAAAATATACATCCTTATTTTTTGCAAATTATTGCGTAAGCGCAAAGATCTGTTTATTTTTTTTTTACACTACAAAACATAACAGAACTAGTAACTTAATATTCTTTTCTACTCGGACTGAAAGTTTACGAGAAACTTAATCCGACATAGTTAAATGCTTGTTAATCATATAATATTTACCAATAATATAAAAAATTCAAAGTAGTTGGTGATATGCTACCTTACGTAAGGCACTGACACGTTGAGAAAGAACTTCCGTTTTCTAAATTCCAAGGGAGATAAATACAATTACGGGTTATCTCCCTTAGAAAATCATTTAAAGAACTAAAATCGTATTCTTCTTACTCAACGTAGGAATTGAAAAGCAAGCAGACTTGTGTCAGATTAAGACATAATCAGTAAATATCTACCTTTTGGATACAGTGGATTTCAAACAGTAACAACATTTATCAAGAGAACCAGTGGCAGACGGGGTTTAAAAATATTGGTTGCTAGGAGACAAATTGGGCCCACCCAAAACTACAATTTAATTTTCGTAATGAATAAATAAAACTTAAAAAAATACATATGGAAAAAAGTGTACATTGTGGAAAAAATGTGTAATTACATATAGCTAGTAGTAGATACCAACTTTAAATGCAGAATGTTATAAGTAAATTTTTAATTTTAAGTAATTGGTTGATATTTTTAAATAGTTTTACTGCACAATTTACAGTTAGTTTAACACATTTTAGCAGATAGTTCAAAAGTATAATAGAGCATTGCAGGCTGATACCTTGGCCAATTTGTCACTGAAGAGAACTGCATATAATGGTTAGCAAACATGTTTCACATACCATTACTACAGTAGTGAATTCGATCTTCACGATAGCGGCCTTTTGACAGACTAAGACGTGATCTCTGGTGTGAAATTAATTTTTTTCTCGTTTGAACATGGGATAGATATTATTACGGTAATAATATTATCATTATTGATCAAAAATTAGTCTTTTATCAAATTGTGTGAAGGAATTTTTTTTCTTTGTTAATATTATTAAATCAATTTATTTTTACTTTCGCATCGTTCCTCAAATCTGACCATGTTTTTTCTAGTATGTATGAGTCGCGCAGGTGTTACGATGACCATATCATCGGAAAGTGTATAAAATTGATTCTGATTTAGGTTGACGTTTCATCTCGTTATATGCATATACAGAGATCCGCTTCGAAACTGCCGCATCGCTTCTAATTGGTTCACGCTCAGTGACCTTATATAGTGGTTGGGAACCGATCTTGTTTTTCATTCGTTCACTAGACTATGAGGTTCGTAGCCTGATCGAGACGGTTTCTGATCGATTGGTCGAAATATGACTTCATGGCCTAGCGATTCTGAATATACATCTATTTTTAGAGATGATGAAATTTTGGTCTCCTTGTTTTTTAATTTGTTTTTCTATCGCTGCAATCCATGCTCTATTCCTTTCATAAATTTTGTGTTGTCATTTACTGTTTAGAGAGACAGTAGAGAGTAAGAAGAATAAACAGGATTACAGAATCACCCAAAGTGAACTAATTTGGCAAGCACTAGGTTTAAATAATAACAATCTGAAGTTTTTAGACGAGATATTTTAATCATTGTATATAGCTCGGGTCAGATTCTGAAAATGTAAGATTTAAGATTCCAGAACACGACATACCTCCGATGCAGACAAAAGGATATGGGACCAAAACGTTGTGATAAAAACGGTTGGGAAAATTAATCGGAATAAATGTATATATAATAAGCATAATACTGTATAAAATGGATACAGATGTGAGAGGCACAGCGAAATAACCGAAAGTAGAGTTGACAATTATTTTATGCATTATTAAATATGTGCTTTTTGTTCTGTTCAAATCTTTTTTTGCAATGGCACAGTGGATAAAGGCGTTAGTTAGATCCAGTGACAGGACCCAAAGAGTGTGAGTTCAATACCCGATTAAAGCTGTTGAGAACTTGGAGAGGGGAATTAACAGGAGATAATTGACAACTGACATCCATTAAAAACATGGCACGTGAAGCTAGAACAGTCTAACACAGTGAGCGAAATAAAGGGTTCAGTTCAACATTCCAATCACCCGAAGAAGGCCGGAGCGTACAACGGCCGAAACGTTGTAATAAATATGGCGACAAAGATGAGGACAATAGTCCGAATAATGTAAATAGCGTAAAGGAATAAATTGAATTAAAATAATACGAAAAGTGTGTGTGTAAAACAGCCACAGAAAGGATAGTTTGATATTTTTTTCGACATCGCTAAACAAGAAAGATCGAATTCATTATTATTCCCTACCTGTCGACTAGACGCAACATCGATCTGAAGTAGGTACGATATTCATAGCAATACGTAGATATGTGTGTGTAATTGACCACTTTGGTTTGGAAAATTTTTATCGCTTACTTAGACTTTTAATTTCAAAGTTCAAGTTGGTTACCTTAAGTCTTACGCATATTTTTCAGTTCACTGTTTATTGAAAAAAATAAAGGTGAAATCTAGAATACTTGTTTTTACATATAATTATTGATAAAGATTATCTGGGTGTGGAAAAGGTCCAAAAGGCAAGTGCGAAGATTGTGTTATGACAATCTTCCGCGTGGGGAGGCCCTATTTGCATTCAACACTCGATTTTTAACTGAGGCCCAACACCAACCACTGGTGACAGCAGAAAATGCAAAAACATTTCTACCAGCAAGCTTGTTCTATATTCTCAACTTGTTCTATAATAAAATTTTAGATGGGCATTTACACGTTTGCAATGGTTAAGTTATTCTTGCATACTATGACTAACCTAATAATATTACTACATGATTACGTGTTTATGTAGACGTGTAGTAATATTCTAATTTTAATAAAGTAACGAGCGTATAAAGATCAGTCACATGAAAAAGCTACACAAAAGGATGATCAAGAGTGATATATGAAATAGGAAGGATCTAGGAAAAACCGCCCCTTCCCAACACAAAAATTTTAAATAAAGATTCAAATTTTGCGGACGTAGAAAACAAATAATAAAGTATAAATAACTTTTTAATCAATCGCCGTTGGCTTTAGCAAATTTAAAAACTTTGCAGTTTGTATCTGCCTAAAAAAAAAAAAAAAACAGATATAAGATTTTGCGGCAGGTCAACTAATAATGCTAGTTCCGTTACACAAATATACGCGAAGTGAGTACGTTTTTCCCAAAGAGGGGAGCAAAGCGGCTAGAGACCAAAAGACTCCCCTCAACTGAAAGTACAGTCCAGCTTTACACAGTTAATACGCTCGTACTTTCTATTCTACTGTAAATTGTGAGTAAAGTTACTAAAATGTACGAACTTTCTTTATTTCACACGTCTATTTCTATGAATATTTCAAATAAGACTTTGGTAAACTTGAACTATCGTGTCTGCAGAAAAATGGAGTGCAAAAAACAAAACAAAACAAAACAAAGAAAAAACAGAAAACAACAAAAAAAAAAAAAAAAGAAGTTTTTTTCCATTGACGCTGTTATTTAATTATCTTCACTCCTCAGTAATGTTTGTTTTAAAAAGCAATGATAAGAACTAATAACATCTAAATATATGAAATTGAGTTTATACATTTTGTTTGTGCTTGAGAATTGACAACAAAATAAACACTATTTATAAAATTGTTTATTTACACTATTTAGTAGATTGTTTTTTTGTAGTAGTTGGCAAAATATTAATTCGAACTGTATAAAATGGTAAATAATAAGGATTTCTTTATTGTTCGCATATTCTAATAATTTAGTAAATGTTTATAAATTTATGAATAAAAAAATGTTTTCATATTTATTTCTTTATAAATTAGTAAACCATAAATACTATATTTCATTAATTTTAACTGTATTAGTTTTTAGAATTTTGTAAACATAAAATTATACTTGTAAATAAACAATCTAATAAATAAAGTGTTTAATATTTTTGTTGTAAATTTTGAAGAACAAAAAATAATCTATAAATTCATGTTCATCATATGTTTAGGTTTTATTATAATTCTAATAACGTTTTTTTA